AAACACAGCCTCTGTCTCAGTGGAACCTGGAAACGAGGGCTGTGAAACGATCACAAACGTTCATCTAATTAATCACAAGGTTTCTTGAATTAATCTGGATTAATCACAATCCTAAATATTATGGAGAAATTCCCATTTTCTGTGTACTGTTTTCGGAACAGAAGTGGACATTACATTTAGTTTTTATTCATAACAAATCCCAAAAAATAATGAAATTCCCACCAATGTTGGCATCTGAGCCATTGCTCTTTTTCTTTTTTAATCAATACAGGATAGGTGAATGAAACGTTTTTTGTTTCCCTTTTTCTTTTTCCCTTTTGTGTGTTCATCTCTTAGCCAGTTGCTAAGTTAGCGGTTAGCATTTTCTGAGGGGAAAGCGGCTGCCTTGAGCCTGTGTATGCTAATGCTAACGGGTTCCTCTGACTCCTCCATCTTGCTCAGGGCAGACAGTTGCATTCTGGGTAAAATGGGGCATTAATTCCAGAAATGAATCTTGTGCTCTGAATGCTTTCTGTCTGTCAGCTAACCGGTGTGTGTGTGGTTAACCGTGTTCAGCCATGTGACGGCTCATCTAAATCTTTTTTTCTGTATGAACCTGTACCATGAGACTCTACTGGGAAATGACCCATCATGCATTGCAGCGACTGGATCCAAGTCTGTACAGGGACCAATCTGAAGAGTTGTAATGTGGTGTTTGCAATAAAAGTAGTTTCCACCTCTCCTGCGTTTCTTCTCTTCTGAAAGGAAACGGATGAATTGATCAGGCTCTGACCCATGTGATGTCAGCTCCATTTTGAGAGACCTTTTCATCTTCAGCAGAAACTGGAGGGGAAGCTCATGGCCCGTTTATTAGAATCTAACCCTAACCCTAACCCACAGCCCGCTCTTTGGCTGAGAATGGGAAGCCTAGTCCTCAGTCTGCTCCTGGTCTGACTGCATTAGAGTGGACTCTTCCTGAAAAACTAGAGTTTTACCCCTTAGTTTTACCCTGTTTGGCCCTCATAGCAACTGAGAATAGAGATACATAAATATATACACATACATACATCTATGCTGTTTGTATATCTGGAGAAAATAATTTCCCTGTGGGATTTTAGTGACTCATTAAGAAATGCAGCTTTGGTTTGGCCCATACCTCATGACCCATGAGTGCATTCATCCACAGAAAAGACGTTTTTGCCGGGCCAGACAAAAGGTCCCATTTATTAGTCTGGAAAGCAGAGGTAAAAGAAGTAAAAGTAGAGTTCGGTTGGCCCGTTTTGCGCTCGTCAGTTTGGCTTTTATAGACTTCCATGATGTGTCATTTTTCTGTTTTTCTAGATCCCATCATACATTAAAAAAAAGTTGTGCTCTGGTTTTTTTGGGGGTCTGCTGGTTCCCTCACACCTGGAGGATAAGGGGAGATTTTCCACTGTCTACAGCCTCAAACAGTGAGTTCTGACATCTGCTGCTTTTGCTTTGGGGGACATTGGGAGCACCCCCCCCCCCCAAACACAGCGGGGTTCCTGTCCCCATTCAGCAGTCCCAGCCCGGTTCAGTCAGGGGTCCAGCACCAGGAAATGTGCAACCCTGCAGGACTTCAGTTAGGGAGGGGTCCTCTGAGCTCTGAGCATCTCCCCAAAGCTGTAAACTCTTCCCAGGCTCTCGTCATCAGTCCCGGTCTCTAGTGTGGATGTCCCGGGTCCATTTGATCATAGTCTCTGGAGACCGATAGAGGAAGATCAGCTTGGAGTAAAGCTCCTCTTCCAGCTTCAGCTCCCCAGTCTCACGCACCTTAGGACACAAACACAGCCGTAAAAAAAGGAGTCCTCCTTAAATCCCCTGCGGATTTACTGTCAAGGCCATTTTCAAAACGGACTCTTCAAGAAAATTAAGTGAGTAAAATGTTGCCATTTCCTAAATAATATCGCGAGTTTATGAGGATATTATTGATGTTTTTTTGTTTTGTTTTTTGTCGGGGCTGCAGGAGTAGAAGAAGAAGACTAGTGCGCTTCTGATCTTTAGACTGTGTTTTAGGCCGGTCCCGATCCGATATTTGGATCGTATCGGCCGATCCAGACTCCAGATACATTTTTTTTTAAAAGTCCGATCCCACATGAGCATTAGCATTAGCATTAGCATCTCCTAACCCACAGGCCTGTGTCCTAAACTTTAAGTTGTTAAAGGAGTAAATCCCTGTTCAGCATGAGTCTGACAACTAAATAAGTAGATTAATAACTTTCAACTTTAATACAAAAAGTTGAATCGGGACATCCCTACTGTATTTCTACATAATAAGATGTTTTCTATAACCATAAAATAGTTATTGAGGGGTGAATTGATTCAGACGGAGCACTACTGAAGGCCTAGGGGTGAAATACCCGGTCCACCACTGGGTAAAACGTATAAAATATGACAACATGGATATCTGCCAGTCATCCAGTCATTCGTATTAGCATCTGTTTCTGATTATGGAGAGAGACTCGTTTCCAGAAGGAAACAAATGCTAGTGATAAAACCAGGATGAGGTGGCCGTATCCAGCTTTAAGAACTAACAGGACAGAAACAGGAAGTCTTTCCCTCCTTCTGTTTGGAAAGCTGTGAGACAACTGTTGTTGTGATGTGGCACTAAATAAATAAAATTTAATTGAATTGAATTAATTTTAATTTTGTAATGTCATTGTCTGAACGTGTGTTTGGACTGATTTTGTATTTTGTGATTTTGTGTTGTTTGGTCTTCCTGCCTCAGGACCACAGATGTAAACTAGCAACTATGCTAGAATCTGGCTCATTTACAATCTGGATGAGATTGTTCATTAATGTGCACTGGCCTGATTAAAGAAATAAATAAATAAAAGATGCTACGAAAAGAGTGTGAAAGGCTGCACTGACCAGGAAGATGTCGGTGCACAGCTTCAGGATGCGATCCACACAGGGAAGCTCCTCGAACATGATGGAGTGGGAAATCTCACTGAAGAATCCACGCACAAACTTCCCGATGACCAACACCACCGACACGTACAGACCCATGATCCTGAAAGCACATTCAGTCAGAGACCCACACAGAACAGGCCATTACGGGAACCTCTTATCCCCTAATGGGGTCAAGGGGGACTAGAGTCTATCCCAGTAGCCAATGGGGAGAAGTGGGGTCACCCTGCACGGTCCCCAGTCCATCACAGGGACACACAGAGACACACAAGGACCAACAACCACACACACTCACACTGAGGGCATTTTGGAGTCCAACAACCTAACATGCAGGTTTTTGGACTGTGGGAGGAAGCCGGAGAACCCGGAGAGAACCCACAGACACAGGAGAACATGCAGAACCACCCAGAAAGGTCCTGGTTCCCCCGGGACTCCGACCCAGAACCCTCTGGTCCCGGTTCCCCCGGGACTCCAACCCAGAACCCTCTGGTCCTGGTTCCCCCGGGACTAGAACCCAGAACCCTCTGGTCCTGGTTCCCCCGGGACTCCAACCTAGAACCCTCTG